CCTTTCTTTTTACAAGAGTCTTGATGAAGGAACTGATACCAATACTCACAGACAGCACCATTTCTCTGCTGCCTGACACTCTTCCAGTCTGTTGTTTTAGAAGAGGACGGCATACAGCTGCTTTTCCATTGTAATCACCCCTTTTCAAATGTACAGCTGGTACTACCCAAGAAGTGCTTCTTTACAGAGGAAGAGGCCATAAATCAGCCTTTCATTCAGCCCAGTATGTTTACCATGTTGTTCTTTAAGATGACAGTTCTGATTTCCATTAAAATACTAGATAGCTGTAGTGAATGTTTTCTGATTTATCTAGAATAACAAATATACAAATATCACTGATATTGAAAAACATTTTCACCTTCCTTACACCTCCAGAGAAGGTAATATATTTAGTAATCTGAATTAAATGAGCAACTGTGGAGAAAACAGCAATAAATCCAAAAGACATAACAATAAGTAGCAGGTTGAATGGGAATTTAATAACACAGGAAAATATACTGGAAACCTGACAGGCAGTCAAACTGTAAATCTCATGCAACACAAAGAGAAGATGCAATGGACACATCACAGTGATCACCAAGCCCATTCAAACCACAGTTCCGGGATGGAAACAACCAAGCTAAAATTAGTGAATCAACAATGCAAGAGAAAACACCAAAATTAATGAAAAACTAATTTGGCTATTGGATACCTGAAGAAATTTCTGGGGAATAAATCAGTACTGAGAAAACGCACCAAGAAGTTTGAACTACAAGAAAAGAAATTAGTTATATTAAAATGGCTATTGTACCAAGTTTACACTGAGATCCTGGCTAGGCTAATCATCTTGAAGATGAAATCAGGCTTTATAAAGGAGAAAACTAGGAGGGCTGTATCACAGTTATTTGTTTAACAGATGGAAGTTATGGAATTCACTGAAGCCTTTGACACATGATCTTAAAAACTGAGGGTAAAATAAGACACGGGTGTGTGTACAATTGCCCACAGGAATAGTCAAATGAATTACATTTATGAAGCCAGAGGTTATAATTTACCCCCCCCCTCCCCCCCAACCCCAATATGTATATATGTATCTGTTAATCATGGGAAAGAACCACGAGAGAATGAAACAGATTAGTGCACTGAGCCTAAAGAAAAGTTGGCACAAAATGTGACTACAGAGGATCAAAAGAATACAGACTCCTGTCAACATTCCTATAAAAAATAAAAAAGTCCATAGAATAAAATTTGTGAATAAAGTATCACAGAATAAAATAAAGTAGTTAATGGGATAGAGTATATATATATACCATAGTTCACAACACATTATATCTTCAACAGCAGAAATGCCACACTCCCTGTTTATCCACCCTTCCATGTGTGTTTGCAGTATTATGCACTTCAGAACAGAAAAGATTCCTAAATCAGAGACTATAGAGATAATAAAGGCATTGAAGAAATAAGGGAAGATATGAGGACATGCTTGGAAAAGAGATGTGAGGAGAAATGCCATCTCCAACAATGGAAGGATGTCTAGAGTAAGAAGAAAGACAATGTAAGATAATTTACCTGTAAGGAATGTGACTGTTTACAGAGAGAACAATTAGCCTTGACAAAGGCAAAAGATGATGAGAGTTAGACTAAAGGAATAAACTGCTGAAAACAGCTCTAGAAGTTTCAAGAGTGGAATGATTACACACACAGTCATTTCAACATGAAGTCATGGCAAAGAAAACTGAGCATGTGAGATTTAATGAGTCTGTGATAGCATATCTAGGGAGCATGAGTCTCCCTTGACTTTATGTCCTTTGAATTTATCCATGATTTTATTATTCACATTTTAGAATGCAAGAAGAAAACCAAGATATAGCTCTAATCTCTTCTCTGCTTTTCCTCTCCATATCCCAATCAGAGCCAATCTTTGAAAGTAAAAGAGTATATAAATTCACAATCTTCTATTACATGACATTTCAAAACAACAACAATAAACCCACAACCAACCAAAAACAAACAAACAAACAAAATAAACCAAAAAACACCACCAAAAGAAACCCACAAAACCAAACTCACCACATTTGGCATATGACATTCAATCTAAAATTTAAAGAAATATTTGTCTACAGTTCCATCTGGAATAGCCCAGGAGAAGCTCTGAAGCCAGTCTGATGGTGTGTGCTCATATAGAAAAAATATGGCATTCTCTTTCTGAGTCACCAAATCTCTAAGGGATTACTTGGGATTTAGCTGATACCTCAGACATGGAAGAGCAGACCCTGTTTTGCTCCTCTGCTAGTTTGTAGACTCCGTGGTATCTTCTGAATAACACTGAACAAAAAAATGAGAAGCTACCAGTGCCTTTACCTGTCCTAGAACCTTTCTATACCAGAGAATTTAACAGCATAAAGGGCATAGGTATTAACTGGTGCCCATGATTTTGCAAGTATTTGTGGGTGGAAGAACTAATGGACACTTCTCTTATGACCAGCGTTTGCTATTCAGACAAATTCTAAGACGCTGTTACAAGAATTGTTGTTAGAAGATGAAGAAATTTATTATAGATTTGCTGATGTATACTGTATAAACAAAGATGCTGCACTGCAAGCAGCAGTTCCAATAACTATTCACCTGCCTTATTTACAATGTCTATATGCAGTAACAGAGCTGTATAGAAGTGTTCATCCTCATCATTTCAAGGTTTATTGCTACTGCTATTATTTTTTTCCTCATGTTGTATCCAAAGACACAAGCATAATTTCATAATATTCCATGTACTGATATTTGAGGAATCTAGTAATATCACAAAAGAATACTTGTAGTTCATAGTCCTTCAATGTTGGATCCTAATTAGACACAGAGTGCTCATTAAGGCTCGTTAAGACACGCTTCTGGTTCTTGTGCATGAAAATATTGCACAATATAATAAAATATTATACAATATCTGTCCCCCTTTCAGGAAGAAAATAACTAGGTCCATTAAATACAAACCTTTTTTCTTGTTGATGATCAGACAGAAAGAGCAACTGTCAGCTCCTCTCCTCCTCCCCAAAGCTCTCTATGTGCAGCAGGACAAAGTTCTCAAATTACTGTTCTTTTTTCCTCTCCTATTTGGTTCTCTGTCTGTTGCTTAAGGGATTGCAAACTTGATCATCAGATCAAGGTGTGATTGGGATCCCAGAGCAGAACTGCCACAGATTATGAACTGCACTGGCCTGGTAAAGCTAAAGGTTCGATTTCAAAAATGTAAGTACTGTAAAGTTTTCCCCAATGTACTCCATGTTAATGCTGTGAGCTAATGAATTTCTGCAACAGACATTCAAAAGGACTAGTTAGTGCTTTCAAATTCTAGTTCATGATTAGTGATTTGCCAATAGACTTTGATACTCTATTATATGAGAGAATATCAATATGATATCAAATATGATAGCTCTATTGTATGATTAAGTATATAGAGAATCTCACAAGCAAAATAGTAGAGGGGCTTGGAAGACATGCAGATATCTAAGAATCTTAAATTTCCACATGAAAGGCCTTAGGTAGATGCAGACAGAGACTCAGAAAATTATCTATGTTATCTATAGTTTCTTAGTTAATGGCTTTCATTATTTAAAGGGAACCTGATTATTAAAAAATAAAGTTGAAAAATGAATAAAAGGCTATAAAAAAAATGAAATACTTTTTATTATTTTATACATTACTGAAAAATAACCAATAGAAAGAGAATTTATTTTGGATTTAAATAGTAATCATGAACACTGCAGAAGTAAAATGAGCAGTAAAATGAGTAAAATGAGCAATCTATGGTATCATACCATCAAAACTAACCTCTTCATTATATATTTGCCCTCATTCATTAAAACATGTCTCTCTCAAATTAAAAGAAAAAAATAAATTATTGAATGAGTGAGATCTCAGCCATGAAAATGTAATCCTGCATCTTAAAATACTATAAAACTATGTACACCATAGGCTTTAAAACTGTAACTGTTTAATATTACAGATATGTGAGTTTTTGCAGTTCCATCTTCTGTCCATGGGCACTCTATGACAGCACAGAAATCCTGAACAAACATGAGAAATTCCACCACTAGAGCTGTATGAAACTTTTGTTTCCACTCACAAATATATTTTTTTTCTTTTTCCTTTTCTTTCTGATTTAGATTTTTTTTTAACCTCTCTTCGAGTATCATGCTGAATTATGAATACAAGAAGCTTTCCATACCAAAAGAAAAAAAGAAAAAAAGGAGGGAGTATATAACTTTATTTAACTTTCTAATTTTGCATCTGTGTGAAAGTTTATACATTTCACACTGAGTACATTTTAGTATTCAGCCCAGATTTGCCACTGTGTGAAACTCATCAAAAATGGTCACAGTGAAAAATGACAAGTGCTTTATGACAAGTGCTCCATTTTCATAAAGCATAATGGATACTTTTTCCAAAAGTGTACATCTTGGCAAATGTCTTTTCTGCCTTCAATTCTCCCTCCCCAGGGTACTATTTTCAGATTCAGAATTAAGTACACAGTAAGTTGATGCCTTATTTCTGAGCAGTTTCTTCTTTAGTCAACAACATTCTGGGCCATTATATGTTGAAAATATGCAAACTTTCCAAGCTTTAAACACTTCTGTAACAAACATTTACTATCTAGGTCATTTGAAAGATTTATTGAAATAGGTTAAATTTAATTTTTCTTTCAAATGTTCCATACAGCTCTTACTAGAATATCAAATATAGCCATCATTTTGGATTTGTTCCTTTGCAAACAGATTAGATATATTTAAGTCTACAACCCCGCTGAGAAAACAACTCACAGTAAAGTTTATCTGAGTGCATGCCTTAGAAAAAAAAATCATTCAATTTTCCAGGCTAGAGGGCAGCATTCACTGGTGAAGTGGCTAAATATGCTGCTCTACAGAAAGCTAAGGCAAAATCATAATAATTCTGCTGCATTCATTTTGTATCAGAAATAACATTTTAAAGCTCTATCTTGCAGACCTGAAAGTCAGCTTATTGTAAGATACCTTATTGACATCCATTCGCAACTTCTCATTGTTGGCACTGGCAGCTTTTTCTGCTGCTTTCTTCTGACGCTGAGGTCCCCTGCCAAAGAAGATGTAGTTGACCAAAGCATACTCCAACAGAGCCATGAAAACGAAGACAAAACATCCCATGAGATACATGTCAATGGCTTTCACATATGGAATTTTGGGAAGAGTCTCTCGAAGATGGGTGTTAATTGTTGTCATTGTGAGTACAGTTGTGATTCCTGAAAAAAAAAGAAAAAGAAAAAGAAAAAGAAAAAGAAAAAGAAAAAGAAAAAGAAAAAGAAAAAGAAAAAGAAAAAGAAAAAGAAAAAGAAAAAGAAAAAGAAAAAGAAAAAGAAAAAGAAAAAGAAGAAAAAAAAAGAAAAAGAAAGGAGAAGTCTGATTGAATTCATTTTTAATTTTCTAACATTTTAGTTCATAATATTCAAGTGATAGTGCTGAAAAAAATCTAGGTGCTTCTAGATGCTTTTTTTTTTTTTTTTCTGCTAACAAGCAACTTCTGTTCATATTCCTTCCTTATCCTGCACAGCAAAGAAAATTACACACATAACTAATTGTAATCAAAGAAAGAAACAGTAGTTGTATTCAACAAGCATGCTTTTAACCAGCTAAACCACAATCTTCTCTAACAATCTGTTATAAATTACCAGCCTAGAGTCATTGTATCTTGCCTTCCTCCAGCATTTTCATGCTGTCTGCAGACTTAAATTCTTACTACAAAATGAAGAAAGGCCTGGAAAAAATAAATGCTATATAAATTTTAAATGTCAAATTCTCAGTTGTCTTTTGTGGTGATTTACTTACTTATCTGATTCAGGACCATGCAGAAATCAGTCTGATTTATACAAAATTTGACAGTAGATACTCATTTATTTTTGTAACATGCTTGGATCCTCTGATGAGGGGCACAGTATAAACAAGGACACGGGATTACTGATGAGATATGAGTTCTCAACAAATTAATTAGGCAAATGGTTTTACTTTTAGAATGCAAGGTAACAGTAAGGAAAAAAAAATTAATGAGCTTGAACTTCAGAGAAGTTACCTATAAAACCTCAGTAAAACTTTATTTAATTCATACCCAAAAGGAAAAGCAATTTGTATTCCATAATATGGTGCTGAATGTATATTCTGGACTGCCATGAGCAAAACCAAATGAAATGCATTCTCTTTGGAGAACAAGCAGTAAAACAACAACAGAAAACATTGAGACAATTAGGCTAATTCTGGTTACAATGATTATACAGTTAGCTAATTCAGACATGAAATCACTTTAATTTTTATTTAAATTGGGATGATTTAAATGCTGATTCAAAATATACAAAGCTTACAAGACAGACATAAAAAGATCTGAGATTTATTTTTCAAATCATGCACTATCCACTAAGTCACAAGCAAGAAAAAGAATTCAGTTAGTGCACACTACATGAGATGTGTAAAAATGCCTACCTAAAGCAACTCTTGCAGCTGAAGCATCATAATTAATCCAGAAGGAAACCCAGGACAGGATAGTGATCAGAATAGAAGGCATGTAGGTCTGTAGAATGAAGTAACCTATGTTTCTCTTAAGTTTAAAGCTGAGAGACAGCCTTGGGTAGGCACCTAAAAGAGAATATTTGGTATGGCCATAATTTACTTGCACAAAACCTGAAAACACTTTCCTGTCATTCTGGTTTTATTGCTTCATGCAACATAGAGTACACACAGGGTTGAAAGATCCAGGATAATAAGCTGTAGAATTTCTAGCAAGAATTGTGATTAAATAATCTTTTATTTTAAGGGTAACAAGGATGCTGCTAGGTTCTTTCCTGATGGTAATTATAATATTCAGGAATCGACATCCAAAACATACTTCACAGAATTAAAGCATAAAAATGCTTCTTCATTGACAAGTTGCAGCATGCCTCCTTCAGGGTAACCTTTGTTCTAACCTTCTATCCAAACAACGCAATACTTCACTTCCCCTTTGTCACTGGACATCAGAAAAAAAAAGTATATGAAACACTTGTTGAAATGGGTACCTACAGATCACTATGTATTCAAGTACTGCTCTCCCCGGTTTTGAAGAATTTGGAATGCACAGTCCTTCTATACTCCTTCCCAAGATGATTTCTGTCCATATCCCTGGTTTTGAAGAATTTGGAATGCACAGTCCTTCTATACTCCTTCCCAAGATGATTTCTGTCCATATCTAAAAAGTGTTTTTTTTTTTTTGTTTGTTTGTTTGTTTGTTTTCTCCTAATTTTATTTTGAACATACCTAGCAGCTTTCTCAAGTAGGTAGAGTACATAAATACCAATAGCCCAAGTCTTGTTTCCCTTGAATGATTTAATATGTCTTTGAAATGTTTTAGTTGTTTGTTCGAGAATTCCAATCTTATTTTCCACTTCTTGTCATACAAAATATTTTCAGCCTTCCAAAAGTCATATGTTAGCTAGCATAGGCTAAACTATAGTCCTGTGGAAGGAGGACATGAAAGATTTTACAGTGAAAACAAAATAATTAACCTAATACCACTTGGCACAAAGAACATCTAGAAACAGTCAGAGAAAGGTTTCTGCAAGCTGGGCTATATCTAGTTGGAGGTAGGGCACCAAGGTGGCTTAGTCAATTTTCATAGAAAAACAGAAAAAGACTTATTTGACTGAGCTATAACAAGACAGGCTATTGTATCTCCATCATATGTTAATGACTGATACACTGTGGAAGCTGTAATAACAACTACTTTATTTTTTAAAAATTCAGTTGCTGCCTTAATTTACTTCAATTTCTAAAATTTTTGTTCAGATCCTGAACTACATATTGAGAACTTGCTCATTTTTAAAAGTCTTTCCAGTGAATTCCCCCTGTAGCTTCCCCTCCACAAACCTGTAGAGAAAACAACATTCTTGGTGATAAGCTTGTAGTCTACAATGGAGAACTGTGGCAGTTCGATCTTTGTCACTCCTGTGACTGCATTATCACCCCCTCGCCAATAAAATTCAATGTCATCTGTTGTATAGCCATCTATAAAACAGGAGCAAAGAGTTAAGATACACATCACTTCCCACATCATGGAGAACAGTCAAAAGAATTCATTCATAAAATACTTTCAAATATATTTCTAAAGCACTAGTGATAAAATAAATAAGTACACAGACAGACACAGGTAATTCTAAATATCATTTCAAATGGCAATTCCAGGTGTGTATACACACACACACACATATATATATTTAATACTGATATATTCATAAAGCAAACCTTTAATAGGAAATTACAATTACATACATCCTATCTATGGATAGCAACTGCACATTCAACAGCTCAAGGTAGCAGCTGATCCCAAGGCTGAAGAAAACAGTGTGGCTTTACTGCAATTGCAACACCTGAGCCAAAACATCAGCAATGGTAACCAAAATGTAGCCAGGCCACCAAGAGAGGTACAGAAGAGATGTACTTGTTTTGTGCAACCTGGTCAACGTAGGAAAGAGGACAGTGAGAGGAACATGGTTAAGAGAGAAGTTCAGCATACAGTGTCTTATGACGTTTGCTCTGGACACAGTGTGGTTTATAACCTCATCTGTTATTTAATTTAATTTTATTTTTTTTTGGATGAAAATGAAAAACTCTGGTTCAAACCCATTTAGATTTACTTATAAAACAAGGCCACTCCTTCTTCCAAAAGAGGCTTGAATGCAAGAAAAGACAGTCACATTTGGTGTGGCACCCACAAAAAGCAACACTAACAGATTCAAAAGACATCACACTCTGCATAGCTAAAACAAACAACAACATCAAAACAAACAAACAAAAAGCCAAACAACCAAACAACCAAACAAATAAAAAGATAGGAAAAAAGAAAACAGCATTAGTGTTCTCACAGTCATAGAACATATGCATGAAATCTGAATCTGGGTTCTCCTAGCAGCTGTTGAGCTAACCTAAATACTCTATTGGTGTAGAAAACTGACCAGTGGAGAACAGAAATAAATCTGCAACAAAAATAGGAAATAAGACCCTCTCAAATGTTTGTAACTTATTAAAGATTTTTGCTATTGAAAATTGAAAATATAAAGAAACAGTTATGAGCAAATAATGACTATTACCTTGTGGGAAACTCACAAAATTATATATACATGTATTTGAGTTTGATCTTGCCCACAGACAAAAAACAGAACAACACTGAATGACATTCAAGAGTGCTCAAATGTGATTTGATTCCAAGTAATAATGCAAGTAATATATATTTTGTGATAACCCAGACTTTATAAAAACTGGTACCATGCATCATTAATTTTTGATAAACCTAGTACAAACCAGGTGTACAGCAGTAGCAGAAAACTAGCAAGTTTGAAGATATGAACCACATAATACATGAAAACACTGAAACAACCATAAAAATCTATTCGACATACAGTATTAAAGTTTTAAAGTATTTTGGTAGTCACGTTCTTACAGCATTTTGATGGCAATTCCAGTTTTGTGTGTGTGACTCCTATTTTTCATGATGCTAGTATCATGAAAACCTAAATAAGTTTGATGGCAGAAAAATGAAAACTAAATTCAGCAACCAGAGCCATCTTACTTATATAGGACAGATTTTGAACATATGGTTGACATCAAGAATTCAGGATGGAACCTGCTCTTCTTTCAGAATTGCTGATATTAACAGCAAAACTAATGATAATAGATTTTTTCATCTCTTTGTGAAATATGTTCTTTCTTAACCTTGCTTTTTATCAAAAAAAAAAAAAAAAAAAAAAAAAGACTCACTCTGACTGACAACATAAACCAAAGAAAAGAAGAGACCCATATCTTCCAAATAAGCTTGTACATGGAGAAAAAGAAACAAGCAAACAAACAAACAAAAACACATACAATGAGAAACATGCTATGCCTTTTGATGTATTCAGATTCCTTAAGAAACAGAGTTTGAATTCACATCATCAAAGAGCTTACATCAATAGTTACCAGTTTGTTGCCAGTCGTACTTTCTCTTTTGCGTTATCAAGAGGAAAAGCAAGGGAAAAAATTAACATAATTTGGACTAATAGCCTCACATAATATTTAGCTTCCCTCTTCTGTTTGGACATTGCCATCAAGTAAATCACCTAAATTCCTCTATACTGAATTTTTGTGAAATGAAGAATCTCATAGATGTCAATTTTTACATTTAATGCATATTACCTGTTCATAGTCTAAAACATGAGAGATCTGAAAAGAAGCCAAGATTAATGCTATCTGTCAGTGGGTCTAACCTTTGTAATCAAATGAGCAGTAGCTTTGATTACACAATTGTACTGATGCTTCTTACGTACTTTGTGATAAAACAGACGTTCAAGCTTTCACTTTTAATCATCAGAACCTACCAGTTTTGATTTAGCTCATGTAGAAATTTACACCATAAAATTGTAGCCTGTTGACCACGAGTTGCAGTATCTAGAGATAAGAATAATTTTAGCACAACTACTTCTGATGACTATGCAAGACATTCTTTGTTCAGCCAAGCCTCTTGTTAGAACTGTTCTATAGCATCAGTTAAACTATTAAAAAAAAAAAAAAAAAAGTCAAATTTCAGATTTACCCAGGAGAATTTGTTCTCATGAGGAAATAAAGTAATTTGCATAATTATTATTTTCTGAAACTGCATAATTACATGAGTGCCTCCCTTCCTATCTCTCATTTCTTCAGTTAACCTTGTTATTTTTCCTCAACAGACTAAATCCAGCAAAAGGTGGTTGAAGATGGAAGGATGGAAGAGTACAGTACTTTAAGTCTCTTCCCATACAAAATGTCCTGAAATACTGAGGCCCTTCTAAGTATTTAACATGTTAAGTAACGAGGAATTAGTTTCTTCAACCAATGAATCCAATCTGTGAAACATACAGCTTGAAAACCTTTAATAATAATAGTAACAACATTTACAAAGCAAGTGATGCACAATACAGTTTCTCATCACCTGCTGACTGATGACCATCCCTTCCCTAAGCAGCAGCAGCCCCTCTGACCAGCCTCCCCAGTTTTACTCTCCCCTCATGATGCTGCATGGTACGGGATGTCCCTGTGGGCACCCTGGGTCCTGCCCTGTCCTGGTCCTGCCCCTTCCCAGCTCCTGGTGAACCCCCCGTCTCCTTGCTGGCAGGGCAGCATGAGGATCTAAAATGTCCTCAGCTCTGTGTGAGCACTGCTCTGCAACAGCTTAAATATCAGTAATGCAGAAAGTAAAGCATACTAAAAACAAAGTTCTGCAAGTATTTTTTGCAATAATCTGATTTTAGTAAACAAACAAACACACTACTATTTGATTTTGATTGCAAAAGAGCTACTGTTTTACCGTATATTAAATTGTATGTAGCACTGCAACCAGGACAGAGAATCTGATTGATTGCTTTTTCCTAAATCATTTATATATCATCAGCAGCATGATTTACTTCACATTCAAAATGTTCAATTTCTCATTTCTGTCATGCATCACACATCGGCAGTCAACCAAATCAATACATTGCCCTGGAAATATGGCACCAATCCTGAGAGAAGCAAAGCATTCTCAACTCCCATTAACAGGGACAGGGTATTTATCATTGCCTGTACTTCAGTGCTTTATCATCTGTCATTCCTTGTAGAAGGAAAACAAACTAGAGGCATGAAGAATAAAAACCTCTTCATACAGAAAGTACAAAAAAATTAATAAAAGATCAGTCTTTTTATCAGAAATAAAATTTATAAGCTCTTTAAATGCAGACAACCTCAAATGAAAGCTGTAATATTACTAGCTGAGCATGAGATTATTTAAACACAAGAGAGTTATCAGAAACACCACACATTGTTAAAAAATGCCAATTTATCTAAATTGGATTGATTAGAGGGATTCATTGCCTCACAGTGCTTTTGTTTGTACATGACAGCAGGGCTATATTATTGACATATAAAGATACATGTACACTACTAACGAGCAGTGTGCACTCTGTATGGAAATTCACGTAGTCCACATAGTAATGCTACTGTAGCACATGGAGACTAGAGATAAGATATTTGTTGTTTTAGGGAAAAAAATAATGACAAACATGAAAAACAGTGTAAATACAGCCAAAATGTAGAGAGGATTCCAAGGCTGTGAATTAATGTCATTCTGTTCTGAACCATCAGAAAATTGTCTGAGCAGGTTTAGAATATCGTTGGGGAATGAAAGCTTTCATTCTGCATCATGTCCAAACTAAGGAAAACCACTTCAGCATTAACAATAAGCCAAAAGGATGCTGTTGGGAGCTATCTTAATCCTAACTCTGTTCAAGTTCATCAGAGAAAATGTCCAAGTGTCCCTCTAGTTAGATCTTCTATCAATTGTTCTAGGCATGATTTATCAGCGCTGAAGCATGATGTAGGACTACTTGGCCACTCCAATGAGATTTTTGCCCAGCAGGTCTAGAGGTTTGGTAAAAGCTGACATTGCACAATCTTTCTGATGACCTAGCATATTTGACTTTTGGTCACCACCACCAAACACGTAAAAACTAAGCAGCAGGATCTGAAAAGAAATACTATTATAAAGCAACCTTTTACAAGAAGAACAGCACACATGTTGTGGAGAATAATACAGCTGTATTATAAACACTATTTTTTTGAAAAATGACAGCATCTTTGCAATATACAAAAATCTATGGACTCATAGGCCATCATTAAGCAAATGGACAGTAGTTCTGTTCAACTGTAATACTTTCACTGGATTTGTGCAGTGTTTTATTAACTTATTCTCTAAGGGACTGAATAATTAAACAAGTACTGTATTAAAAACAAACGAACAAATAAACAAACAAAAAAAAACAAACAAAAAACCAACACTACAACTTTACAGTTCCTTTAAAAAGGTCTGTATTATTTTTTCTACATAACAAGCACACAACAATTGGATAAACTGATTGAGCATACTGGGGGCAAAATCACCCAAGAAAAAAAGTTAGTCATAGCTGTTTTAAATGAGTGAAAGGAAGCCACAAATCTCCAAGGCAATAAATACCATGATTTCT